ACGGCCTTGGCAGAAAAGGCATTATGATTCTATTTTTTTTTTTTTTTATTCATTTTTTATTCCAACGAAGGGGTGATCCGGAGCGGGATAGGATTGCTCAACTCCTCTCACACACATACACATGCGCGTGCGCTAACAGAACACAAGACCATATAAAATTATTATTATTATTATTATACGAAAAAAACCGGTCTCGTATGAGAAACGAAAAAAAAGAATTATAACTGGGAAGAAACAATAATATATATGTGAAAAAATAAACGGTGAAGAAACCATTGAAAAGCAGTTAGTCCCGTTTCGGTGGTCTATACCCGTGCACAAAACAATATAATAATATTATACACCTATACAACGCGGTCGCCGCGGCATCGGCTCTCGCGGACGAAACTTGTAAATTTATAATTTTACTATTTCCCACACGGACTATCTATGCCACTCTCAAGTATTTAGAAAATGTGCGGCCGCAAATATTTGCGCCACGTGCAGCCTTCGGATGATACACATACACACATTATATACATGTATATAAGTACAAGTATATTATGATGCACACTAGCTATTTATATTATAATATATATTGTATTGCTTTTTCCGCGTTTTCGGGTCCCCACGTCGGGGTCGATTCTAATTTTGAAGAATACATTACTATCCACCGCCACCATTGTGTACACTATATATATATATATAAGGAAGATATCATCGGGGTAAAAAGTTTGCTGCCCGACCAGCCGTTCCTTTGAACTGCCGTCCCGAGAGTTAAACAATTCCTTCTTTTTTCGGGGACAGATTTTTTTATTTCCTGACTGCCCTACACACACGCGAACGACGAGTATTTATGAGCTTTATTTCTTCCTCAGCTCTCTCTCTCTCTCTCTCTCTCGGACACATATTATACTCGTGTTTAGGGAGCAACGGTTTTATTTTCTTCCCCGTTTATCTCTGAAACCAGAGCAATACGATACTGTAAGTTGTACAGTATATATATATACACCGTGGTTGTATACGCACGCAATATTCATCACCACTTCTTTTTTTCTCCGTAAATTAAGAATATATATAATATTACATCGTTCTGACTTCCAGTTCGGGTTATAATTACGTTTGTTAGCATACACGGCCATAATTAGTTATTATTATACGATTTACACTCGACGCGACAGTTATTATTACACTGTCTGTACACGACGACGACAACATATATTATTATTATTTAGTATTTAATTAAATCTTCGTTAATATTTAGACGTAGCACCTGACTATAATAATATTATATTAAAATTTGAGCGAATCTATATACCGTCGTGGTGGGTTTGTGGCAAAGAATATAAACGTTTATTGATTTAAAAATGAAATTATCAAAAAAATATTAATTTTTTTTTGTATATTATTTACTTCAACAATTGGAATACATATTATATATTTGAAGTGTAATAATGGTATTTAATTATTGTTTTTAATTTACCGTAATTCAAACTTTGGTTGAAATTTTAAATTATAGCCCTACATCATGACGTTTCATTAAAATATCCTACTACCGGCCACCTATTGTGCACAAAATACATCATCGAATATTCAATGTGAAACACACATTATTATACCTCAAATATCTGATAAAATATATTGAATTCCAGAATGATATGCATTTGAATAGGTACGGTTGTATCATAAATTAATCATGTTAAATAGTTGGAAATCCTAAATTAAATAGCATGAGAATGACGTTTGTTTGAAAACTATTTGTTTACGTTTTACCGACTTGTCGGACAGTTTTCTTTATTTTCATGAATAGGTTTGTATACTGCATCACGTTGCAGCGGTATTTAATTACAATATATTATACTGTATTGTATTAGCTTAAATGGTTATTTACACTGGTAACCATATTATACATTCCACTAGATGGGTAATAAAGTTGCATCGATAAGTATATAACTAAAACATATATTGCCGTAATTATGTCGATATCGGTCAGGGAAAAAATTATGTGAACAACGTTTATTGTCCGGTTTCCCAAAATATACAAAATACATGTATAATCCATGATATATATATATACTATTATGCGTCTATTATAAGTGTATACCGCGTCTATTATATCCATTGATTATTATGATCACGATAAGTGATCGTCATCACTTTATAGCCTTAACAAGTACGTGAATTATTGATCGTCTACATATTATAATGGTGCATATAATATTATATAGCGTGTGTTGTAAAAACATTTAATAATATAAATTAGAGAGCTTATGTTTTATACAATACAAACATACAATACAGGTTTAATATATTATTATAATAATATATTATATGTATATAATGTCGGTACTTATATGCACACCACATATGATTATAATAATATATTATATTGCACACATTTACACGGAGTCTCTAATCCCTATTATTATGCCTAGGTGAACCTATAATTCGTGAGTTTAGCCTTACTGACGTGATCGACGACGTGTTCGTATCCACGGTTGTTATGATCGTAGACGTTTGAATAATTTCTCAAATCGCGTAGGTATATGGTCATAATATTATAATGCATATTGTACATTTTTTTTTGCACTGATATAATTATATAGTACTTGGCGACTGTTTTTTTTTTTCGGGTTTTATCATTTAGAAAGGCCGAATAAAATATTGTTATATGAATAAATTACAACACCCGATCTTTAGGAGAATTCTTGTAAATCGGGGAACAGGTATCTAGGATATAAAATACCTGACTATTATAGTATTTTTTTAGTATTTTACTAAATACTTTTTTAGTAAAATAGTAACCTATGCAATATAAAAATATAATATTTGCTAATATAGTGTTATGTATATGTATAAAAATTATTCATAATATTTTACGTCAAGTTTTGATTGGATTTTTAGACTTCTTCTCACTATATAGCAGTATAAACCGTCCGAAATGGGAAACAGTAATTTTTTTGTAAATTTTTTTTTGTAGGTCCTGACGTGCCGTCGTGGGTCTGAAGTATATTCGATTCGGATCAGAAGCAAGCCTCTGATCATACCTACTTCTATATAGTTGCATACAAAAGTATACGGTAAACGTATCATCATATTATCAAATTACAAATGAGGGCATCATTAAATTAAGTATACATTTATATAATAAGTACTTTCCTTCTATGTTTATAAACAAACATAAAATATGAAAAAAAAATAAATAGATAAACTTTTTTAAAATAATTTTATAAAAAGCTGATCTATATAATGTATTTTCCTGCTTTTAAACATTCACTTTGTTTATTTATAAAAATTAATATTGAATGAATTTATGTAAAATACATTTTTTATATATAAAGTAGTATTTTTTTACTGGTATAAGATGCAATTGCAAATGCTTAAATATATAATGTTTTACCCCAATATTTGCTAAAATAACAGTTTGATATGGTCACTAACATCTAAATTGCTCAAAAATATGCATAATTAAAATATGTCGTATTTATAATGGTAATGCATTTCAGTAAATTGTACATCAATTATTTTGAATTCAAAACGACATTTATTTAGATGGTAAATCGTTAATTCATAGCCCTGGTTATATTAATTGTATTATTTGTTTGTGTAGGTAGTTATTTTATATAGTATACTAGCACCACCAACTTAACCTTCTCAAACCGCCTCTGGTTTGGGTCAACGAGTAAAAGACTCGTGTGGTGCTTGGGGTCAACCACTATACGCACACACAACCATATACATCCATATAAATATATACATTGTGAGAGTTCGGATTTTTAAGACTCCAAAAACCACCCACAAACCGAGGGGGACACTCAGTTTGTGACCTACGAGCCGCACCGCTTGTAAATCCGAAGATTTACGTCGGTGGAGCTCTTAGGCTTTAGTACACGCAATGATTAATGAAAATCAAAGATTTAAAATAAAACATTATACCGCAGATTATATTAAACCAGATGGTTCACTCCCTATTCGGCCCATGTAATTCTCAAAAATGTAAAAAATCAAAACCTACCTCAAATCAGTACCACTACATGTAGTGAATAAGAGTTTTTATGAGAAATTATTGATTTGTAACTATGCATCACTATGAGCACTCCCGCCAAATTCCTAATCATTGTCCTATTATTTGATACAATAATTATAGTAGGGGTGTCGTGCAATAATTATTTTTTCATATGTGATCCTACTGCATTGAGGTAGGTTTTAGTTATCAGTAAGCTCAGAAGTGCAACATCTAGTTTCATATAATCTGTGATTATACCTACCAATAGTATGAGAGAGAATAAAGGCGATACTACTAATTAGTAATGAAATAATAAGAGTGCCGTTAGAGTAATGATGTGGTTTGTATTTTACAAAGTGCAAAGATTTGCAAAATAATAATTTAAATAGTTTTAGAATGATAATTTGTGACATTGGCATTTACATGATAATATAGTAGTTCCACCTCAGTGAATAATGAGACGGCAATTCACAATAAAATACTATTTTGTAGGCACATGGCAAGTATGGAAAAAATGAGGAATATAATATTTAAGGCATAGATAGTCGCAAGACATATTTCGGTTCTCTTTCAAAGATAATAATAATAAAGGTCTCGGCCCACGGGAGGCTACACACCACATAATTCGTGGGTGCCCACGCAGGGTAACCGGATTGTGCTGCTCATCTTTTTTTGTTAATAAATGTGGTTATGAGCTCGTGAGAGGTTGGAAAGAAAATTAAGGAATGCGACAAGGACACGCGCCTTTGCGACGCCTAATACATGCGCTTTTACGGGGGGACGGGGAAAAATAAATACATTTTCTGCAGTTACTGCTGACGACTGCGATGCTGGTTGATGGATGGATGGGCTGGCCGCCAACACACGCGTGGTTGGCATGGCCCATCTTCACCAAGCCTGAAATTTTTGTTCGGTGGTTTTCTTTTTGGACACCCGACGGCCCCGCGAAGTCGCCTCAGCCCACCATTGTTGACTTGTAGTCGTATTTTTGAAACAGAAAAATGTCGGACTCCCGATGTGTCAACTTCGATCGATGTACACGATGTTTGGTGCTGGAGCTCCGACGGAACGTGATGTTGCCGACGTTCGGCTTAATCAGAGGTTGCGAGAAAAGAAAATTTGTTTTTTCGGCGAGCTTGTGACTTGGATCTCGTCGGTGAATTTTTTGATGCGGGGATCAGCAGTGCAGATGATTATAGGATTTTTATACAATATTTCAATGTGCCTTGGAAATGACCTGCCAATAAGCGGCGGTGGTCACGACCGACTGTGACGAATGACAATAGGCAGCAGCTTCGGCGACAAGTCGCCGGACACTTCGCGGGGCGGAGGTCAGGGGACAGATGTTGGGTAACGTTGTCATTTACTTAATATTTTAGACGCGCAATAGTAGCCTGTTTGGTACCACAATTGGCATGATTATTATTATTTATTAGTAAGCTGCTTACTAATAATAATCATGCCGATTGTGGTACCGAACAGGTACGCTCTTTGTAGATAATATATTATGGAAAGGTATGCTTGGGGGAATATATGATAATATTCAATAATGCTTAAAATTCTGTGACTTTACAACATATAAATTATTATTATATATACATACATGCATATACAAATCGGGTATACATATATACATTTATTATTATGTAATATAGTGCGTTCGCATAATATAGTCCACCTACTATATACCCTATATGTATAGTTTATATTATATATATATATATAATACTATGTATATAGAACCTCTCTTCGTATATACCGGTCAGCCGTCGCGTACTGCAGTCCGACACACACGTGGTACCCCAAAACCGTGTATTATACTCTCAATAGTCTACTATAGCTATATATATTGTATTGTATGTATATCATACGTACATTAACGCAGAAAGTAGAAAGAACTTTGTTTATTATCGCGTCGGACAATATAATAATAATAATAATAGCGTATATAGGTATATTATATTATTATATTATAATACACTTGGTGTTTATATATATTATAATATACGTATTATAGTTTGTCGTTTGCGAAAAATCGTCTGTACCGTCTGTTTGGCGGATGTGGAGGGGGTTGTGAGGCGGCGGGGAGGGTAAGAGAAAAAAACCGAACCGCATTGTTCCGAAACGTCGTCCTATAATCTCTCGGCGGAAGACAGACGAAACGGTTTTCGTCGGTCCGTTCGAGTCTATACACAATCGTACTATGCATATATTATATATATATATATATATAGATATGTAGTAATATACATAAGTACCATGACCCGTATAAATATAAAGTGTACAATAATAACATATGACATTGAGCCCAATACGGTTTTTTACGACCCTCGACGAGACACGCGCATTCCTGCTCCTCTATAGTCATAATATGTTTATTATTCCGAATTCGATCGTAGGTGAAATCGTAACAACAACAACTATACCTACAATATCCTATGGTGAGGTGACGAAGCGCGATCACAGTGAAAACATCTCTCGAAAATTAGGTGGCCCTCGAATAGTGCCCGCTCACAACTATAGCCCCACACACCACACACAAACACAAGCATATACAGGATGTAACAGATAGAACTGACTTTTGAAATAACTTTTGTTCTTATCAATTTTTAAACTTTATACATAATTTATATAGTCACTTGCGCTACACGTACTATATTATACAAAAAAATTAGTTTTATTTTTTACCACTGAAAATAAAAAATTTAGAATTTGATCTAAATTTTCTTGGACATATTCAAAATACCCGAATTGTGAATCTGATTATAAGAACAATTTTGACGGTAAAAACATTTATCTAAGTCGAGTAGTTTATTTTTTAGAATTTTTTTAAATATCAATGTTTTTTGAATAAATTAATTTGGAACAACTTGTTTCAAAATATTTTTTTTGGGAATTCGCTGATACGAGTGAAATATAATATAATAATATATCTTAAATTATTTACCAATCATATAATTTTAACTATTTTCGTCATACGTTTAAGTAGCATCATTCAGTTCGTCGAGTTTTTCTGTTAGATATACACCTTGTATATTATATATTATTATATCATTACGTGGGCACACACACACACACACACACAAGTCCGAAACTCGAAATAAGTACCGACAACCCACCTATATAAAACGCGTACGCGCCGATAAGTCGTAAAACCGACGACCGCGAAGTAAACGGTCCGTGCTGGCGTATTATTGTGATGTACGTTTTCCCGCTCGCGGTCGCAGTCACCCGCCCCGGACTTGCACCGCACTCGGCCTTTTCCGCTCCGTATTATATATTATTATTATTATCATTATTATCGTACAGGTTTTACGACCGAACGCGGCAAAGTTTTCTTTTGTCCCGACGACGACGGTTTTTACGACGTGCGTGCGTCTCCGGCGGCGGCGGTCGTCCGGCAGCGGTACCTACAGATATAATATATTATAAATATATATATATATTTACGTATATAAATATATAGATATTTACATGTATATTAATATAAGGTACGCGTGAACCTATGAATATAATAAGCGAGCGAGAGTCCTCTATATATCCTAACGGCTAACGTGTATAGTACGGGTGCTCTGCGCGGGCCCAACTAAAATATCTCAAAAGCACCAACCTATACGGTTTTCGGTGGGTTTGATTAAGCAGATGGGAAAAAAATATTTAACACTTCGCCTGAAGGTCTTTTAGCCCCCGAATGATTGTTTGTTTCGTTTCGAAAGAGTGCGTATAGTATTACACATTGTCTATGGTTTTGTTTATGATATATTATGCATGTCCTTACACCAATTACAGTCAAAATCGCTTTCAACATTTTAATTATTACAAAAATGAAAAGTCGTTAATGTTCTAAAAACAATGAAACCTAAGCACTTTGGGTCCCCGAATGATTTTACACTTGTGCCTCATATTATGTGTATTCTGACCTATCGATATTATGTAAAAACGAATAATTACGAATGTTCGATTATCTATATATAGCTGTTTGAGCGTTTAAGATTGACTCTGTATAGTGTACACAGTTATTCTAAGACAGGTTACACTCTCTTCTAATGGTTTTTCAAATCCGGTCACTATAATAAAATTATTTCGTGCATTGATAAAGCATAAAACATATTAACCAAATTATCTTTGCTAATATGCAGGTAACATGTTCAGTGGAGCCCTTTTTTCGCGTGTGGCAGATGAACTTAAATAGAAATGATCTACATTATACGTTCGTCTTGCGGCGCTTGTAGCTCGATGACGGATATCATTGATGTATTACCTGTGGATAACAATAATATTTGCTTTTTAAAAAAAATATAAAATAAAAGGATATTAGACTCGTTAAAAACACGATTGAAAATATTTATTTATTAATTTTCTGTGCTACCAACACAAGTAGGTACCACTGTTTGAGAACTGCTGACTTATACCGATATGAATGTCGAATGCACGCTATAACCTGCTATACTGTTCTATGCTATAACTTAACCGTGGTGTAATGCTCGACCGAGCTGTATTCCGCAGATTAGGATTTAGCGTTTGTTTATTATTATGTATTTTATATTATACTATTTGAAAACGTAAAGTGAGTGGTATGTTGCTACCCAGATAATCTCGAATCTGCGATTTATTAGTATACATACCGACTATTATCTCGAGTTGAAAATATTTTGTGAAACAGTTTAATGCAATATGTATATACGAAATATGCTTCGATGATTAAACGACTTTCGCGGTCGTGTTTCTATGGTCACCGACGCATTACAGTTATTGCAACAAATGAATTATGTATACAAAATATTATTATTATTGCGACCGGCCGGCTTATTTTACGATATGGCAGATATTATAAGTCAGGGTCGACCAGAGACGGTTAAAACATCTCGACGAATGATACGATACGGTGTATCACGATGTTATATTAATAAGTGATATAATTTTGTCTCGGCCTTTGCGACCCGTATAATATTAATAATTCAACTACCGCACAATATTGTCCACGATCACGATTGACTCGTAACATTACTGGCAGTCGATTTAGTGTAAGAAAAAACAAAGTATTCGCGAGGACAACAGTATATAATATTGTGTATTCATCTGCAATGGAATTCTAACACATTAATTTCCCTTCAGTATCCCAAAAAAATAAAATATGCTCTTCTTAATCAAACCCTGTAGTTTATATCGGTCGAAGGGTGTATATTACTCTCGACACACATGGCAATGCGGTTCAGCGCTAAACGTGTGATATTTTATCTCGTCACATAATTCAGTATTTAATATCGGCCGGTCGTAATTATAATTATTTTATTGATCGACTCTTATTCATTTACGAATTAATTGCCACGAAATCATAACATATAATATAGATACGTATATTAATTTATATTTAATGTGATTGTTTTAAAAACAGTAACATTGATAAAGTCGTGTGCAATACAGTTCGGGAAATGGAGAGAGCTGCAGATCGAAATCGAAATTCTCCGTTTCCGTTTGTGTTGGGTTCCCGGTTATTTCGTCTAGGTTTGGTTCTACACTTCCGGTAGATACACAATGGACGTATCACATAATATTATGGTATACATAATATGAACCTATAATAATTTCTTTAAACAATATCTCCACGGCTATACCTATATTATATTGGAACACCACACGTGATCTCGAAAATAATGTCTTCCGTATTTCTTTTTCTGATCATCATTATTATTGTGCATCCGTATCCTTATATCACTGCGGTACCTATTTAGGGTAAATTATAGGTATACATATCGATGTTTATTTTTATTTTTTTTAATGGGATAATTATGTGCGTCGTATAAAAATAATATCACACAAGTATAGAGGGTGTGCGCACGACGTATTGTTGTTAATTAACGTCAATAAATATTATAATTTATAATAAGCTTATTTGTGTTTTTTTTTTTTTTTAATTGTATTCATTTCATCCGTTCGTATATACAGGGTGATTCTCTTAACAGCACATACTCGCCGTTCTCTTGGGAAAATGTTGCAGTACACAATCCCACTTTTGCCATGCGTAGGTCGTTGTGCAGTAGGAGTAAAACCAGTGTCAATTTGTATCATATGCATACTGCACGGAAATATTTTTAATTTGAAAATGTATTGGAATATTTATTTATTTGTTTTATATCAATGAAAGTAGAATATTTTCATTGACATTTGTATGTAAACGTAAATATCGATCGTTGAACAAATAGTTTTTGAGTAATAAAAAATTGGTCGAGCCGAGTGCTGTACACATGCCGTTCGATTATACGTAAAACCAAC